AAGTGCCACAAACACAATACAAAACATTCCGATCGAATACACGCTCGAAAAATCACCCTTCAGATTACTTAAAAAATTCTTTATGTAAATTCTTCGAGCGGAATATCTTTTGCCTTTTGTCGCACCCGGAAGTTACTTAGTACAAAATATGAAACAAATCACTTTTGGGGACAAATCATTTTTCGTAAAGTAAGAACTTTTTAAGTGATCTGCAAGGTGGTTTTTCAATCATGAGGGTGCTTTCCGAGAGTGTTTTCGATCGGAATGTTTTGTATTGTGTTTGTGACACTAAAAGTTGACACTAAAACTCTATGCAGAAATCTGTGAATGGAACAAATTATTAAAAAAAAAATCGCTCCAGGAACATTTAAAATTTCAAGTTCGTAATTCTTGATATGAATCAAATGGCATTCGGAGAAATCTTGTTCCTTTCATTGAATATTTTAACATTCTTCTACAAAATTTTAATGAGAATTATCTCAAATTTATCTTTAAAATTGAAACCTTTGAAGATGAAAGGATTATAAATATTCCACATTCTCTTCATTGTCGCAATTATCCTTAATGGCTCTTCATTTTAACTCAACCCCGTAAATATTCAAGCGAAATTCCATTGATGTTAAAGCGCCAAGAGGTAATAATGCAATCTGAAACGCCAATTTCGTATTTCAGTCAGAAAGTGTCAAAAACGCAATCGTCGACAATCGATGACGAAGAACGCGAGAGAAGGGAAAAAGGAGTGGGTAAAAAGTGTGAGATAAAGGAGGGACGTGGCAATAAATTACAACGACGTTTCGAGGTGTCGCATACCGAAAGGGTTTTTAATGAAAGATCGTAATGAAAGAGTCTCGCGCGCGAGTGAGGGTTCCCGAAAACTTCGTAATCTCGCTTCCACGCGCCGCTTTTTTCACCGCCGACGCGACAATGGGCGCACGAATGCGTCACTACCGCTCGTTATTCGCGAATTATTTATTCTACACTCGTCAATATTGAATTTGTCCCTATTATTGAAACATCCCGTCGATAATTCGCTTCAACGCGCGCGTCGCTCGTAATCGTCGAAATCCGCTTAATTTCATCAGAATCGGCGGATCGTACGCGGCCGGAAACCGCACATCTCCGAAAAGCGGCGTCACTCGTCGTAATTTGTTTGGCAATTTGTAAATGCATGCATCTTTTTGTAAATACGCGAAATTCTCCAGTATTTCAATCGTAATGTCATTTTGGAAAAGCCGAAATGCACAATAATGCCGCGAAAATATCGAATAAGTAATATTTTATAGAAAACCATTAATTCTGATTATGAAAGCCTAGAAAATTATTAAAAAAGATATATATTATGGCATACCACACGGACTTCATTAAAAAATAATATATAATTGTTCCGTTGCATCGGCAAATCAATAACGGTAACATTTAATATTTGCGGATGATGTTATTTCATAATATGTAACAATAATTTATTTATATTAGTTTGAACCAAATTTGCACGCTCTTTTATTATTGCTTTATTATTGTACACAATAAATAATCTTCTGATTCTTTCATTCGTAACACATTTACAAATATGTATGAAATCTCTCTCATGAAGTATAAAAAATATTTATTTTTTTTTTTATTATCTTTTACTTATAAAAAAAATGCTTTTATCTAATATAATATAATATAGCAACCACAATGTCGATTAGCGTTGGTAATATGTCTCGAATTCAGTCGGTGTCATCTAATAAACAACGCGGCATACATAATAATCTAATATGCGATGTTCGCCATATATCTTCAAAGTTGCACGCCTGCCAATTCCCCGTTCCTCAATATCAGCCGAAACTTCGGCCATTATTTCCTGGATTTGCGCCACGAAATACAAACATTAAACGTAAAGTCGCTTATCGTCGTGCAGCGTCGACCGCATGACAATGGACATGCATTCCCCCGTGCTGATATAAGATGCAAAAAAGTTGGCGAAGATGAGGAGATTGCGTCCCGAAAGGCAGGACTGACGTTTAAAAATTGGACATTTGAGTAACCCATATTCCTCTCAAAAAGATTTCATTTCCCTTCGCAGAAAAAAGCACGTTATTGATTCAATTCAATTTTTAAAATAATTCACAGCTTGCTTCTTCCTAGCGACAATGAAGCAATGCAAAGATGGCGCGCGCTCGAAGGAATACTCTCTTATATAAAATACAAAATATAATGTGATATCTTATTGTACGGTACGGAAAGCATCTAACGATTCGGATATTGAATAAAATATCTGTAAATACATGGATTCGCGAGAGGGAGAGGGAGAGGGAGAGAGAGAGAGAGAGAGAAATTTCCCTCTGACGCACAAGAATATCTTGAGATATTCTGCGGAAGATCTATTTCTATCTTGGTGACATTTTCCATAAATAACCGTCGATGTCTATCTTTGAAGTCACCAGAGCGAGTCTCACGCAATATATTTCTAGCAAAGTATCGCGCCGGATATTTCAGAAGATCTGTCAAGCAGATACTTCTGTTCCTATTGCTTGCGAGAACGTCGCGGGGTTGAAAATTTAATCGAGTGCCAGCAAAGTAATACATGCGGATCTGGGTCGTTTCGCCAAAAGCGGTCGCACGCTTTACCGGCGTGCAAATAAATAATGCAAAAAGGTTGCGGGCGTCTTAGGGAATTTTATTTTGAATGTAATTCGCAGCTCCGCGTCCTCTTTTTTTTTTTTTCGACGACTAAAAGGCGGAATTATACAACTGACATTCGGTAAGAAATGCGGGATATACACTGCGTTTTAGAAATATGATAATTGACTGACTCGGTAAAATCTGGGACAGCTTGTAAGTTGTAGAATGCGCGTAATGCGGCACGTTAGAAATAACTAATAATGCATATACGTGGAGAAAAGAACATTACCAAATGGCAAATTTTCGTTTCATTACTTGTATGCGTGTACATTCATCCATACATTCACATTCAGCTTTCAGTCTTCTAAGTAATATCTTTTATGCGCTTTTTTGAGAACATTTATTGAGAAGGATTTAATAAAAATTTGCTTTTACATACATAAATATTATAGATAACAGTGAATTGATAAATTCATATTTCAGGTAACGTGGACCAGGCAACGTGAAAAGGACAGACAATTACTTACAGTGGGTAGAGGCACACATTCTATAGACACGCGTTTCGTTATCGCAAGTGGTCCTGGCTGGAATCTCATGATTAAGAATGTCAATCACGAAGATGCGGGTCTTTATGAGTGTCAGGTAACACGTAATATCCATATAGAAAATGTCCTATTTCGCGATATCGTAACATGGACATGTAACTAATCATTTTATGCACATTGCGTTTTTGCATGATGTTACTCATACAAAAATTGGAATATATTTTTCTCTAGAAATTCGACTAAATTTAATATAAATTAAACTCTTTGATTCCATAAAATCTTGGTAATTTCTGAAAACATGTGAAAAATCTGAGAGCTCTTCATCCAGAGATTATATAATGACACTTTGATTCAATAAATCTTACTTATCACTTACTAATCTTCTATAAATAAAATTACTTTGCAACTTAACTCGCAACTCGTTCTCTGACTGAATTAATTTATTAATTTAAACTTCGCAATTATCATCCACTCGAAAAGCTCGAAGTTTAGAAATTCTCTCTTCAAAAAGAAATATCCATTAATATTAAATATGATCGTCGTAGTATAAATTTGCATTTATTTATATAATGATAATTTTTCTTATGCTGATGGTTAAATATAATTTGAAATATAATTAGGTATCCCCTTTCCCATAAAGATATATCTTATTTCAAGACTGAGTTAATATAATAAATATCGATACTACTCTTTTTTAACAAACATAATTTTTCTTTTCTCTCTATTTTGCAGAACTTGTTTATTCATAAAAAATTAACAAGCTAGCGAGACAATCGCCGAGTTTATGTTACGTCGTACGTTTACTACTAACCGCATCAAATGGCTATGTTTAGCCAGCTGAATCAGTAGTAGCAATCAATCGCGGTCAGACAGAAATAACATATTCAACGTGTCATGCTATAATGACAGAAACTCCACGATACCTGTTGAATATTTCTCTTAACGATATATATAACCTAATCATAATATAGTTATATACATACAACTATAGAAACCCATATGTAACATCACAATATAGAAATTTTTATTTTGATTAATATAATTAATTTGATAATTCGCGTGATATGTTGTTTTATTCTTTTTTGTGCTTTCCATCATATGATAGCATTTTCGAACGTTGTCACAAATTGTAATATTTATAATCATTATATTCTAAATAAATATAAATAATAAAAAAGAAGAGGAATAAAAAGCTCAAAGGAACGATGAAGTTAAACAAAAAAATATTAAAAAATATTGAGAGAAATCTTGATATCACTTCTAAATTATATAGGATATATAATACACACACACACACACACACACACACACACATATATATATATATATATATATATATATAA